GGGCTGCTAGTGGGCACGGAATCCAGCCCCCTCGCTGCGGAGGGGCTACCCAGGCAGCTTTGCCGGGAAGGGTAAATGGGCAGCCCAGTGCTTTTGGAGGGAAGGAAGAGGAGACAAAAGGGTGGGGGGCGGGGAGACGGCTGATTTATGCCTGCACTTCAGCAAATATTTTCGCTGCTATTAGCATTGCCGAAGACCAGGAGCCGGGAGGAAGGGGCGCCGTGGGGACCTGTGGCTGAGCGCGCTCCGCCCGGGCTTGTCTGCCCGCGGGGGCGCCGCGGCTGGGCCGGAGTTCCAGCCCAGCGCCACCCAGCTCCGGTGCCAGCCTTCTCCCAAAAAGCCCCAGGAGGGGCTCACCTGGCCCCGGCTCCCCAAAACGCGTCGGGCGGGGATCTACTCCCGCGGCGCCCCGGCGGAGCGCAGGCCCGAAGGGGGCAGGAGGTGGCGCCCCAGCCCCAACTTGGGAACCAAGCTCCAGCGGCGGGCGCACCGCCCTGCCCTGGCCTGCGGAAACTGTCCCCTCCCGGTATTATTCTAATTGCGGTACTTTAAATTTCCTTAAAAAAAAGAAAAAAAAGAAAAGAAACAGAAAAGCACAGAACACACTTGTTTGGTTTCATTTTGCCTTCACAGCTTTAAGGACTCTATTTGTGGAAGCCGTTTAGGAAGCTGGTGAGGAGACGGAGGACGCCAAGAGAAGGCTCTGGCCTGGGGCAGCTTTCTCCTCCCTGCCCTCTGGGGGCAGCTGCCTGGGCAGCAGTTGTCCTGGGCCCAGGGCCGCCAGCCCCAAGTCCCACCCTTTGACCCAAACCCTGCACCCTTTTTTGCAGGCCTCAGTGGGCTCCAAGTTCTCTCTTTTTGAACCAACCCTAGCTCTGAGGTTGAAAAGACCTTATGTGTAGCTGGCAGGCCCTGGGGAAGGCTCTCAGGACTGTCCATTCAGAATCATTAACCGTGCTCTCTAAGCACTGGGAGTAGAGGGATCCATCTCCCCCCACCCACCCCTAAAATCCTAGGCAGCCCCCAACCCTCCTTAGAAAACCTCCAGTGGCTCAGGGAAGGGGAGGTGGGAGGCAGACCTCATCTTAGGCCCGACAGCCTGTGACTGGGGTGGCAGGACCTTCAGTCCAGGAGAAACTCCACAACAAAGAGGGATAGGAAGGGCATTGGCTTCCAAAGCTTCAAAATAAAAACTAAAAACATATTCTGTCACAATATACAAATGGGTGCAGAACTCTAAAATGCTAACATTTAGCCCTGCAGCCCAAGGGAGCTTGGCTTGTGATCTGTCTTAAATTCCCCAGGCCAATGCAGTGGCTCAGAAGATCAATGCTTGGGGGGGGGGGAGGGGGGCAGGAACACTTTTGGGCACTTGTGTGGTCTTGGAGCTTCACTGCTGTCCTTTGGCCCTAACCCTTCCACCTCTCCTGGGTCCATGCTCCCAACTCAACCCTCTTTCCTCCATCCTGCTACAAGTCCCAGCCTAACCCAGCTAGCAAAGCAATCTTAACTTCAGCTGCCTGCCTTAGGTGGTGCTTCAACTTCAGAATCTCAACCCCAGACCCATGACCGTGGGTCTCCAGCCCAGGTGGAATGAAGGAGCCCAAAACACTAGACTGAGGTTTATGAGGCTTGAGCTCAAATCCTGGCTCTACCACTGAGTCACAATGTGACCCCGCCCAACTTGGGCCTGTCCCAAAGCTTCAACAGTTAAATAAGTGGATTGGAAAAAAGGGGAATTTTTATTTTAAATTTTATACTACAGAACTTCCTGTTTGGGGGTAGAGAGGGGAAAGAGGCAGAGAGAGATTATAGGAGAAATTCCTCCCCTGCAGTGGTATTTTCATTTTAATGAGAAAACCCATTAAGACACTTGACTTTCCATTTGTTTAAGTGAGACGGGTGTTTGCTATAGTGAGTGTAGAGGGAGACGAGGAGGACAGGCCATCACACCACACTCACATACACACATATACACGTGCACACACACAAAGCAGAGACACTAGAAAAACGCTGGTTTTAATTACACTTTAAAGAGAAGTATTATCATGACACCTCTGCTCCTTCTCAACCATCCCAGCCAGAGGCCAAGGAAAGGCTCATTAAAAGCTCCAGGAAGGGCCGAGGGTTGGGGAGGGAGGAGATTTCCAGGGCCAACTAAAGCTTTTGAAGTGGCCTCTGCTGGCCAGTCACTTGCTGACATCTCCTTGTATGGTTGGGGTTTTATGGTTCCAGTTTTGATTTCTCCACCAACAGACTTACTTTATGGTTTAAAAAAATTCTCGGTGGGGCCGGGCGCGGTGGCTCACGCCTGTAATCCTAGCTCTCTGGGAGGCCGAGGCGGGCAGATTGTTTGAGCTCAGGAGTTCGAGACCAGCCTGAGCAAGAGCGAGACCCCGTCTCTACTAAAAATAGAAAGAAAGTAATTGGACAACTAAAAATATATAGAAAAAATTAGCCGGGCATGGTGGCACATGCCTGTAGTCCCAGCTACCGGGAGGCTGAGGCAGGAGGATCGCTTGAGCCCAGGAGTTTGAGGTTGCTGTGAGCTAGGCTGACGCCACGGCACTCACTCTAGCCCGGGCAAAAGAGTGAGACTCAAAAAAAAAAAAAAAAAAAAAAAAAAAAATTCTTGGTGCTATTAAGGGATCTCATTCCCGTATTCACTGGGGATGGAGGTGGGGGAAAGGAGAGAGGTGCCTGTCACTTGAGGGGAGCTGGGACACCCCCAGGAAAGAGCTGTCTGTGTAGATACAGCCTTCCCTGCCTTAGCTCAACCTGAGGCAGACAGCAGAGGGGTGGATGAGGATGGGAGGAAGGAGCCAATGTGGTCTGAATCAGCCTGGCTATTGGACAGGAGCCCTGCATACAAGTCTTCGATTTGTGGTCGAGTGAAGGTGAGAGTTGGGGAAAGCCAGCATGCTGGCCTTGGTTTTCCCCATCAATGAAATGGGATTCATGAGGGATCCACTGGAAAAGCCCAAAGAACATCTGCAAGAAAGACGCTCTGTGCCTTGTGGCATTAGAGAAAGGAGACTGTGTGGGAGGAAGAGACTTGTCCCCCCTCCTGAAGGCAGGTTTCTAAGGGCCACACATTCTGGGCAATGAGAAGGCTGCAGGCCGACCCCACCAGTTGGCCCCTCTCCAGGCTGGTGGGCAGGCAGCTCCTGCCGCGCTAAGTAATGAGCACAATTCCAACACGGCTTCTGCTCACTAGTGAGAAATCAAAGCGGGGTATTAGAGGCCATTTCTCATTGGGCACCGTTGGTGCCCAAATCCATCAAAGCCCTGGGCCTGGGGTTTCTTCTGGGGAAGGTGGGGGCTGGATGCTTTGTTAAGCAGGAAAGGCAGGCCACCTCCAGCCTTCCCGGCCAAGCCCACCCACCCAGAGAACTACAGGGCAACCAGTCTTGTCTTTCTCCTGCCTACCAGAGCCTCCCCCGCCCCCAGCTCCCAGTAACCTCAGGATTTATTTCTGATCCCACTGCTCTGCTGGTACAAAAACAGTTTCTCAAGACTCAACCCTGCCCATGTGCCATTTACAGAGACTTCAGCTCTTCAATCACCTCCTCAAACACCCTCAAACCAGAAACCAACACCCCATCCCAGGCCCTCCCTCCCACGTCTAACTGAGCGCTTTAAAACAAAGTTGGTCAATTCAGCAGCCTGCCTGCCCCCTCCCCATCATTACCTTCCAACTTCAAAACACTGCTGTAAATACCAGAGTCTGCCCAAATCATAATTAACTTGGATCAAATGATTGAGTGGCGTAACTTTACAACACAGGGCTTGCAAAAAAAAATGAGGTGATAAACCAAGCCCTCACTCCTGGCCGTGGGAATTATTAATTCCAAAAGGAGCAATCTTTGGCTATGGGGGTGGGGGGAAGGACGGATGTCAACATCGCAGCGGAAGGTGGTGAGGAGGGGCTGCGTCATCGCGGTCCACTTTCTGCCCCAGTTTTCCTGCCCCATTCTCAGTCTCAACTCAGAGACGACTCCGTGCAGGATGACCCCCTCCCCCGTCCCCACCCAGCTCCGGAGCCGAGGCTCCAGGCAGCTGCAGCCAGTCCACCTGCTTGGGTTCGGGTACCAGAGAGAGGGAAGACGCGGCCGTCAGTAACACCTGGTCCAGCTACAGGACAAGCGAGACACGTACACATCCACGGCGGGAGAGGCGGGTTGGGGATTTTATTTTAAGAGCCTACCAACCCTCTGAAGGCATCGTGCTGGGTCCAGAGCAGGCGCCGTATAGAGGAGAGCGCACCTACTCTGTTCCCCGGACAGTGAGAATGTCAGTGACCCATTTAAAGGGAAACTCGGCAGGATCGCTACGTACCTCCGCCCCCTTCCAACACACACACCAACACCCAGAAAAAAATCCTGCCAGACCTGCGGGCCCCGCGATCTCGGGGAAAGCTATGTGTGCAGAATTTAGCTCTCCCTCTTTCAGTAGTCAAAGCCCTTCACCCCGGCCTCCCCAGCTGGCGGAGCGGCTCGCGCGCTTCCTGTACTCCGCAGGTCTCTCCTCCCTCCCTCTGGTCTGCGGGTTCCTGTCCGTGCAGCGCACCAGAGCCCGGGCAAGCCGGGACCGGGACTAGGAAGTTACCAGCGCAGGGCAGCGAGCGCGCACCTTGCCGGTGCAGCCACAGTCTTTTTTCGGCGCTGAAATCAGGCGCGCTGGGAGCCAGGAGTCCCCTGGAGGCGGGTCCTCCCGGAGACTCAGACCCCGACTCCAACACCCGTTACAGGGAAAAGAAGCGATCCGTTCCAGGCGAGAGTAGGAAGCTTCCCGCTTACTGTAAACCCCCTGACCTGCGCCCCCCGCGAGGTGACTGCGCCATCGCCCACTGTGGTGGGCAGAGAAATCTGCCTTCTAACTTGGGTGCTCCTGCCGCTTCCCTGCGCGCATCGACGCGGCGAAGGACCACCTCAAGTTCACGGGAGAGAGAGGCGCCAAGGATCCTCTCACCCCTGTCCCCAGGCCCGATCGCTCCCTACCTGCTTCGCTCAGCCTCAGGTCCCAGCAGAGCAGCAGCGCCAGCAGCAGCGCACCCCGCGCTCCGCTCCGGGCCCACATGCTCCCGCGGCCCGGCTCGGGAGCCTCTCCCCCAGGGCTCTCTCCCCGGCCCCAGTCTCGCCGCCGCCGTCTCCGCCGCCGCCGCCTCCTCCTCGCCGTCCTCCCCGGCGCCCGGCCGCGCCAGCCCGTGCCTTCCGTGGGGGCAGCGGCAGCCACGCCGCGCGGAGGGCCGCCCGGCGCTCGGAGCGCGATGGGTGTCCGGCGCCCGCTCTCCAGCCAGGCTCCGGCGCGCCCTGGGCTCTGAGCGCTCCCCGCGCTACTGCGCCCTGGCTCTCAAGTTGCGCGACCCAAGGTGAGAGCGCTCAGTGGCGCGCGCAGCGGCCGGCGCCGCGCTGTCCCAGCCCCGTGAGCGCCTCCCCGAGCCCCGCCGCAGCCCGCGGCTCCGGCGCCCTCGCCGGTCCCCGCCGCCCGCCACAATGCCGAGCGCTGCCGCCCGCCGGCCCCAGTGAGTTCGCGAGCCGAGAGGACCGCGCGGCGGGGCGGAGCCTGGGCGGGCGGGGGCGGAGCCGGTGGGGAGGCTGCGAGTGGGGACCCGAAGGCCGTACAGGCGCAGCAGCGGCACAGCTGGGGGACCCTTAGGGGGTGCCCAGAGCGTTGAAAAACTCGGCCGCTGGAGAATGGCTGGAAGCAGAGTCTGCCCAATTTTCGTTTGCACAAATTGGCTTGGCTATGCCAGCTTTCCCCTCTGATTAAACTTAGGACTCTCGCTTTTGGCCTCTTGGTCTTTATTGCACTCTATGCCTTCAACACGTGGGGGTCTTTCCAAAAAAGGCTCCCTAAATGAGAGCACTCAAATCCCAGTGACGCTGGGGCTTACAGCTGTGTGAATCTGGGCATAGATTCGGACCATCCTGGTTGGCTCTATGTGTCTGTACGCCCTCCAGCAGAACTGTTTACCAGACCCCTTGGGCCGCCTCCAGCTGATCCTGGACGGTTGTAAACCAGCCCCTAAGTGACACTGGGCAAAAGGGAGGATCAGCCATTTGGGGGCTCAGTGTCAGCTTGGGCTCTGCCCCTTATCTACTGTGTGACCTTGAGCAAGTTACTTAACCATTCTGATACTCCCTTCATGCTCATCTGTAAAATGGAGAATAATGATGGCTATTTCAAAAGGGGGTGGAGAATTGAGTGGGGAAAAGATGTGTATGATAGCTGCAGCACAAGTGTCAATATTACCTCTTTCCAAGATTCTCCCCTCCCAGCCAGTCTGATTCCTGGGAGAAAGTCCTCGCCATCCAAGGATTGGCCAGGGAGCATGTGGAGCCAGGTGAGGTTTGGAGGATGGGCAGTGTCTTGGGATTGAAACCAGAGCCCTTAGAATGAGTGGATCAGCTAACATCGGCAGAGATCCTCTATGTGCCAGGCACAGGGCTAAGCGCTGTCTAGCATCATCTTAGTCAATTCTCTCAACAACTCTCTGAAGTACCATTTAGAGCCCCATTTTACAGATGAAGGAACTGAGGCATGCCTGAGATCACACAGCTTTGAGTGAAAGAGAGACTGAGTAAAGAGGACAGGGGAGGTGGGATTGGAAAGAAACCCTCTGAGCTGTGGAGCTTCCTCCCCAACACCTTCCCCTGGCTGGATTGGGCCGACAGGAAGGTTTATTCCACCTAGCCCCGATCTGTGATCTGTTTACTACCTGGGATTCTTCCTCTTGCCAGAGCAGGGATCTGGAATCATTCCTTTAAATATAGGTGCAGCAGGCTGCTTCAGGAAGGGGTGAGGGAAGTCAGGGAGAGGTCAGTGACGGTGGGCTGGAATAGGGTCAAGTGTCCCCAGAGGTGCTTCCTAAATTGGAAGAGAAAGAATTTGGGGGCCAGATCTGCTGTCTGGAAGGGGACCTGGTTGGTAGGGTGAGCACAGAGAAGCAACAAAGGCCTGTCCCAGCTGTTTCCCCAGAGGAAAGATGAAGGCAGCACTGCCCAATACCCCCTCCACGCACACTCCCCCCATGGGCTTGGGTCTAGAGCTTCTGGGGTGGTGGTGCATGCAGTCAGTTGACCTCCCCAGCCCTCTTGGGCGAGGCACCCAGGATCAGGAGGGTGGATATGGGTGGACCGGGACTCCCTGGGGAAGGACTTTGGCCAATTGAGAAAGGTCCATGTGGGCAAAGGTAAGTGGATTATTTTCAGCTTGGCTGGGGACAGCCCAGGCAAGGGCAGTGGATGGGAGAGTCAGTGGCTCATTACAGCCAGACAGCTCCACCCTTCCACGAACTGCAAACACACATGCACACACACACCCCATGCACACCTACAAAGGTACACACAAGAAAACATACACCAAAGACACACAGGTGCAAAATGACCCTCCCAGGAACATCACACATACAAATAGGCATCCAACTACAGAGACACCCACATACCAAAGATACATGACTAAAAAAAGCAAACACATACACACACACACACACACAACTAAAAGGACAAACAGGCAGGTGACTCTAAAGACAGATATTTAGTTACGTAACTGCTGCTAGGAAGCACGTATAGGCATATGTGTAGCAAGACCCACATCTGACTGTCATCCCCTGGACACAGGCTCACGGTCAAGGACATTACGCTAGCTAGAGAGCTCAGCAGGAACCTCAGCAGAGACAGGGCAGCAAACAGAGACCACAGGATGCACTTGTGTGTGTTCTCTCTCTCTCTCTCTCTCTCTCTCTCTCTCTCTCTCTCCATGTCAGAAAGCCAGTGGGATATTGGAGATTTTTCTCAAAAGCTCTAGTCCTTGGAACTAAAGTGTATCTGGCGGATCTTTCTAGTCCAACTATCAGGCTTTGTGGCTTTGTTTAATTCCTGGCTGGAGAGAAGCGGGGCTGGGGTGAGGGGGGCAAACAAAAGGAGAGCAGTCATTTCCCCTCCTGCCAGTCACTGCCTACTTCCCTCCTCAGCCTAAACACTATCAATTCCTGAAATATGCTCATGGGGGGTGTCCTGGGCCCTGCTTTCCCTCTGGGACTCCAGCACAGGATGGGGGGCTTAGCACATTGGGAATCTCTCCCTAACTCCCCTGCTCCCCTCCTGCTGGGCGGAGTCTCTGGGAGAATGCCCCTTCTACAGCCACCTGCTGCTGAGCCAGCCACTGCAGATGTGGCTCCTCCCCAGCCCAGGTATCTCAGGGTGCTGGCCCTCAGCTGGGGTCAGGGAAAGGGCTTCAGAGGGGTCAGACGGCCCTGAGCCACAGCTTTTCCTGGGATTGGTGATGAATGGGCAAGGACCCTGCCTCAGGTGTGTTCCCCATGATGGATCCCCTGCACACAGTAGGAATGCAAGCAACATTGAGTGGGCACAGTAATGAGGCTGGGGGAAGAGGGGTTAGTGATCAGAGGGCTTCCAGCCTTGGCAAGCGAGCGCTAGAAGAAGCCCCTTACCTCCCATCTCCTCCATTTCCGGGGACTCCCAAGGGTTCTGAGGCTGGAGGTGCCATAGCGCTGCTGCTCTGAACTCAGTCCTGGAGCAGGCTCTGACCCCTAGTGGGGGTTGCAGATGCTTCCACCGGCTACCCTCTTTTCTCTCAAACCAGAGGAGTGTGTAGGAGAAAGAGTTCTGGAATCCATAGAGTTAAGCTGATGGTGTGGTCCTAGACCTGGAGAGCTGCTTTTAGCGGCTGGGAGATCTTGGGCCAATTACGAAACATTTCCAAACATCGGTTTCCACAATTGTAAAATGGGAATAATAACTAACTCACATAATTAAAAAGAATATGCAGAAAGCCCCTAATCTGGCTGAGGAAAAACGGCCTATTTCATACCAATTATGATTTAAAAGCAGCTGTAGGGACGCCCCGCAGCAGTGGCCGCGGCTTGGGGTTGGCGCCTCCCTGTCCGCCGGCCGCGCGCTCACGGGGCCACTAGGCGGCGCGCTGCAGCTCCGCCTCCTCCAGGGCGGCGGGTCGCCGAGGGCGAGGGTCTCTGCCCGGCTGGCGGTGGAAGAGGCTTCCGGACCACTCGCTTTGCAGGATCTTGAGGGGGAGGCTTGGGATGAGTTCCCGATTCCTCCTCTGAGTCGTCCGGCTTGGAGGAGACCCCAAACTCCGGACCCAGAAGAGGGGAGGAGTCTAAAGTTGAAGTCGTTGCTTGGCCATCTCTTTGTAGTAATGTGATTATAGCTATTGTGGAGTCTTTGCTATGTGCCACACACTACCCGAAATCCTCTGTATGCCGACGACAATCTATAAGAAGTACTGTTACTGCCCCGTCTATCGGATGAGGGAACTGAGGCGCAGAGAGGCAACTTGCTCAAGGTCACACGCCCCTGGTAAATGGTGCGGTGGGAATTCTCATCCAGACGGAAGGAGTCTCGAACCTGTACCTTTTTTTTTTAATTACGATAAAATTTAAATAACATAAAATTTACCATATTAAACATTTTAAAGTGTATTAATTCTAGTAATTCAGTGTTGTGCAACCATCACCACTATCTAATTAGAGAACATGTTCGTCACCCCAAAAAGCAACCCCTCGGCCATTAAGCAGTCACTCCCCATGCTCCCCTCCCCCAGCCCCTGGCAACCACTCATCTGCTTTCTGTCTCTATGGATCTGCCTATTCTGGAAATTTCATATAAATGGAATCATACTATATATAGTGGCCTGGGTCATTAAACTCTGACTCTACTAAATATTGTGACAATCTTCCTCCTTCCATCCTCCCCACCATTCTCTCTCTTCCCCTAGGCCAGGGGTCTTCTCCCTGGCATTCAGGTGATATAAGCAGTTAGTCTCAAAAGCCGTGGGGTCAGGCAGATCCAGATTCAAATCCTGACTCTGTCTTGAACAATTTACTTATCTTCTCCGCTGTAGCTTTCTCAAAATTCCTTTATTGTTGTTAATTTTTAAAAAGTAAAAATTTTTAAAGCAAACTTTTAATTTTAGAATGGTTTTAGTTTTACAGAAAAATTGCAAATATAGTACACAAAGTTCCCATATACCCCTCACCCAGTCTCCTTTAGTACTAAATTCTTACATTAGTATGGTGCATTTCCTACAATTAATGAACCAATATTGATACATTATTATGCAGTAAAGTTAATTCAGATTTCATAAGTTTTTACCTAATGTCCTTCTGTTCTGGGATCCCAATCTGGGATTCCACATTGTATACAGTAATTATGACTCCTTAGGCTCCTCTTGGTTGTGACAATTTCTCAGCCTTTCTTTGTTTTTGATGACCTTGACAGTTTCAAGGACTCTTGGTTGGGTATTTTGTAGAATGTCCCTCAATTGGTATTCTTAATAATTTTGAGCAAGGGACCCTGCATTTTCATTTTGCACTGAGACTGCAGATTATGTAGCTGGTCCCGCGTCTGCTTTATGGGGCAGAGAAGAGGCAAGCTGAGTGGGGGCTGGCACTCGCAGCGGGCTGTGGTCAGCATGCCTTGGTATTGCCTGGGGGGACCTCGATGCTCTGAAGAGGGGGCGCTGAGAACTAGACCCAGGGGTTGATAAGG